AAAGGGTCAAAGTTCAAGTCAAAGAAACAATGAATTACAATACAAATAACCTAGGTGTGAAAACACACAAAAACAACCAATCAAACCCAAGGTCACCAGGAGAGATGATTAATAAACTCGTGGAGAAATCTGAAAGCTCACTTCAAATTGAAGTATGCGCTGAAGATGTCGCCTAGCAGGGCGATGAGAGCTTCGCAAATTAACTATCCAGCTCAGAGAACACAACCATACCAAAATCATCCACCTGAGCTACAAATCTTCTCTATCATATCTAAATCTTACGAGAGGCTCCTTTCGCCCGACACTGAAGATCAGATGGAAAAACCAGTAAGAATAAACTACAGCGTAGCAAACCATCCAGGAACCTATGACGGAACATATATGCGGAAGGAAGTAGAATTCGATGGGACATATGCTGGGAACGCTGTTGTTCGACATCTCACACCATGTTGGGCCTCGATGGAGCCCGGTTTGAAGTGAAGAGTTGGGCGTTCGATAGTGACATAGACGAGGCCATATGGAATGAAATCTTCTGGGTAGTCGTAGTACCAGTTGAAAGTGGTAGCAGGGAACCGAGTGGAATGGAAATGTGCAATATAAGCACTATACTACACTCGGAATGCAAGGAACAAGTAAATAATAGTAACTTTCACTGTTATACAGTGAATAGTTATGGTTTATTGTGTTAATTCAGATCCTTGACTATATAAATTATACACTATTACTGTTCAATGTGGTGCACTCAAGGTGCCATTCACTAGCATAAACCGCTAGAATTAGGTTAACTGGTTGTTACACCTTTCTGGTATGAAATGCTACCAACTCTTGCTTTTAACTGGCTGACCACTTGGAACGTACAATAATTTCATTCTGCTCAAGTCGTATCATTTCTAAATTTTTCCTTTGATAACAAAGACAACTTTTCCTGAAGGAGGTGCTCCAATGTGCTCTAAGGTTGCCACCTTTCAGAAAATAAGATATATTCTGTATGAATTTTATTTCTCCGATCACTGACTAATTATTCGAATGTTAGATGTGTAGGAGTTAATTGGTCCCAGAGTATATTTCATAATGAACGTACACCGCTTATTCACCAATTACAATGTATAGTGACGGGACTATATGGTCAAACGACAGTGGTGCTGTCGCAAACTAACATTTCTCTTTAACTCCATAAAAAATTAAGTCTAGATTTGTTAAGTTGCGTCGGTGGCATAGCAGTTAGAATGCTCGCGAACCATGCATATGGTCCGGGGTTTGCCCCCTGGCCGACGCACTCCTTTACCTCGTTAAGCCAGTAATAAAGCTGGTAAAGAGGAAAGGTTGGACATAAGACTAGCAACCCCATCCTGTAAAAATAAACACTGCTACAGAAACTTCAAGCCTCTAGTTTGAAGCCCTATGTTCCACTGGGAACGTGAAGGAATAAAAAAAAGATTTGTTAAGTTCATCAAACGGTAGTTGCTTGTTCAATCAGTGAGAGAGAATTGTTTAATAATTCAAACAAAAACACTTGATATCACTGGTAGAATACACTTCATTTTTCATAACTGTATATGTGATATTACTTGAGGGTTTTCTCAGTGTATGACCATGACTCAATTTGTTGAGAAGTAGGTTCTTCATAGACGACATATACTTCGCCTGTCCCCTAAGGTCTGGAAATTCCATCTCAATGTTGAGAAAAGTCATCAGTTGAACAAGCATGATGTTTTGTTATAAACTGCCCATATATGCATTTTATTGATTGCAAGCCGATACTCAATAATCCAACCAAAATCTTTTCAAATGTCATAAGCATTATAAAGCAAGCAAGTATTAATAAGTGTACTTTATTAGAAATCCTTCTTCAAAGTATACAACTAGCAATTATGGTAGGAACCCTCTATCCCGTTTGCAAAAACGAATATATTCTGCTTGAAAAAATAGGAACTTAGTTCACATAGCAACACAAATCATGGTAGGAAACCATTCAGCAATAAAATGTGGACAAACGATAAGAAAAGGAAGTTTAATATCTTGGGGTTGTAAACATAAGAATTAATCTTTATTCAGAAACCTGATGTTTTCTGCATCTGCCAGAACTTTATACCTACTCACAAGGTATTTTGATGCGACACTTTGCATTCGTTAATTTAACCTGTCTTGGTATAAGCCAATACTGAGTAATACAGTAGTCGAAAAAAATAAGTGAAGTATCTAACGTAAATGGTAGACGAAGAAGTCCATGCACTAAACATTTCCTCTTTAAAGAGTTCAAAAAAGTTGAATGAATGCAGTCCATGATGTGACTAATTATCTTATCAAACACAAAGTTTGTACAATATGGGCACCACGATATGGGCGACACAATACGAGCAAAACACAATGTATGGTATAGCAGTGAAGTGATTGAAAAGCATGACCACCAAAAGCAAGTACACATACTTAACAAGTGCATTCAAGGAGTAATTGTCACTTCATGCTACTTTCTGAAAGATAAAGGAGAAAATTGCAGCATGTTCACCACTGACTACGATACTAAGATATACTAACGCCCTAGGCCACTGATCCAGACTATCTCTTATACTCTGCTTAGGTAGTCATGATGTGTAAGGTAAGGTTATGATGCTACATAGATTGAAACTCCTAAGACATTTATTACGAATGCTACAACATAGGCTACCTCAACAAACAATGCTAATTGATATGAGACTGAGTCAGAGAAGAGTCGGAGATAGTCAAACCAAAGCATGGTAACAGCCCACGAGTGTTGGTTTGAGTCATGTAGGAATATGTAGACTACCTGGCTGGGATCCTGGAGATTCTAAAAGGTAACAGCTGAATACTGTTGGTGACACTGCTCAAAATCACTCTGTGGTGCAGATGCATTGACTATTTGTGATTCCCCAGATCTATTAAATCCCCATAATTCTCACTGCAACACACTTCTGTTTACTATGGCTTCTTAGCATATTTTTCTCTGCTTTTAACTATGAAATGTGGCAACCGGAAGTGAAAAGTCCTCTATTGAAAATTCAGTTAATACTTGATATAAGTTAATGAAGTCAGGCAAGTGTGCTTGTTTACTTTATGAGTGACCTCCCTCCCTGTATTTTTGTTTTATTTGTGTGGCATATATACTGGAGCTCATATTGTAACAATTTTGTGTTCCTAATAATAAATGTGACCACCTTCTACACGATAGTACACGTGAGTGAATGCACGTCAAGTCACAGTGGTTAGATCCCATAAAGGTTATAAACCAACTTGTGAGGGAGTGGAAGATGACGGTGTTTTTAAGACTACGCATAGCCTTGGGTGAAAATTGGAATTTCTGACTGGCGAGACTGAACACCAAAGGATACATATTCAGTACCACCACCAATGGGATAAAAACAAGGAGTGACGTAATGTGTTATCAAGAGGTGATATCGATATCCTTCATACATGACAACTCTACAATAGGAATAACTAAGAATGACTGCGTGACAGATTTGGAACGTGCTAATATGAAAGAAAAAATGGAAACAGGCTACTGAGATCGTAAATATGAACAAGAAATGTAGGGAATTTAAATGCACTATACACGGTAGGTCAGGATCATAGAATCTACTCCGCAATTTAGAATGATTGCATCAAAATGCTCAGTAAGGTACAATGAAATACCTAAGTACTCTCAAAGGTGGGACACAGTCATCCAGATCTGCAGTACCTAGCCAAAAGGAATACTGAGTTATTTCGTCTGGCAGCAGGAAGGACACCAGTGGACAGACATGTGGCAAATGTTGGAAAGCAAATAAGCTGAACAGTGGCTTGGAAGTAATTACAGACTATATTTAAACAACGGAAGTTCTGGAGAAATGTGTATAATGGAACATGTGTGGACATTATCTATATGGCTTTGAAAAGTTTTAATTGCCACACTTTTACACCCTAGGAGCCCTAATTGGAGTGTTCGGAGCAGAAATTAACAACTAGAGGTACTCGATAAATCTTAAGTCCCGTTACCATTGCAGATGCGCTTTTTTGTTGGAGCATAACACAAGCACCTACTATGCATTTGTTTAATGCGTCAGTTATGGGACATTGTATAGAGGAAAAAATTGATTTGAACTAATGTCCGGCCAAATTACCAGTTTGAACGGGCACATAAAATTAAAGAATAAAATATCCCTACAGTGAATTTGCGATGTGAGAAGAGAGAGTAGTCAAATACGTATAAATGCATTTCAATGTCTGGAAAAGCTTGTCATTGGGACATCACCCGTATGCAACTAGTGTTTAACTTCTCGACAACTATAACCACTAAAACATCTTCACTGACTACAACAAATAATCAGCAACTACCTCCCGGTGTCGTTGTGGTAAAATTACTTATTTCCAAATTATTCTTTTTCCAAATAAAATAACTCAGGAAGATGTCTAGCACAGATCTTGTCCAACTGAACTGAAACCTTGCAGTCCCGCTCGTTGACTTTTCTGTGAATACACTTCCTATGCGTCATCTCAAGGTGTTCATTTGCCATGCTGCGATCATTTCACATCAACAGCAAACTTACATTAGCAGTGACATAACATTAATAATAACTTCATTCCCAAACAGTACATACATGTATGAAACGCACCCAGCAATATATTTTGAAAAAACCAAACCAGCTGAATCTTCTAAATAAGTGCAAAACATGAATAGTAGCATATGATTCTGCGTTATACTTTACCGGGACACACCGTGAATCAGTGATATTTAGTAGGATTCAATTCAAACACAATCTATTCTGTCAATTAAAATGGAATTATGTACCATCACAAATTTTTTAACATATGACTTGTTATCTCCCTACTCGAGGAACTGAGTTTTTTCTGTAGATATTTGTATCAATTCCGCAGCTAAGTGGTGTACATACCGCCAGGTCTAGTTGCGTCACTGACGTCATTAATAGACAAACTAATCAGATATCTTATAAAGTCAAACAACATTTTGGCGTGCAGTGTTTGTAAAGGCACACACAACCACTTACCTGATTTTCTTTATTTTGTTCAATTGTACGACTCCAAATATGCCATGATCCAGCAAGTAGTAGAATGCGGTCTTCGGCCAGGTTGGGTATACACTAATAATTAAAGCCCTTGCAAATCCATGACTATGCGGTACCACAGCGACTGTCCCTGACGTCACTGGTTCGCATAGTTGCATACGGTAGCTATTAGTGGAAGTATAATCCTTGTCAAGTTCAGTTTGCATCTCCAAGTAGTTGTTGTACTCTTCATCCGGAATTGTCAAGAATAATTCCTTAGACCCATAAAGACTACGGATCTGAACTGGCACCGGTTCCCCTAGAGGTAGGTGGCGCTGTATTTTATTAATCACAATCACAAGAAACTCACCTTCAACTGACTTGGGTTTCCAATTGTCGTCATGGAGGGACGCATTTTGAAGCGATGAGCAACCCATCGTAGTACGTCATTTTTGTGTCGCAGTGGGCACGATAGCTTGAGAACCAGGGTGTCTTGTTTTCCTGGACAGGTGTTTAAGTTGAATTCAGCTTGCCACGAATTCCTTAACTCTCTTACATTCCTAGGAAAATATGAAGACAGAAGTAAAACTTACTTTCCAAGTCGGCCAATAAGCACACCACCCATATACGCCGGTATTAGGAAAGTTTCGTGCCAAATGTCCCTGTCAACAGCTTCAGCCCACATATCACTGGGGATGAGAACTGTTGGTAGGATTTTCCCATTTATTTCTTCAGGATTAGCTTCATATATGTCATTTGAGGGGTCACTGAAGCCATCTGGTGGGAGCGGAATTCCGCACAACCCGTCGTTTGAATCAGGGGTCAGAGCTCGATCAGATTCCGAGCCTGAGTTAGTCTTCAGTCTACTAGTTACCGACTGGATAACTTCCATCTGTAACAGGTATGAAGGAGTCACTGAACAAAATGCTTTCTCAGCTGGAGGTTGTGCGTCTAAGAATGAAACACTTTGTAATTCCGAAACTGATTCCTTCAGGGCCACTGAATACCCGTCGACAGGGATTGTCTAGGGGTTATTAAGTTAAAGAATAGTAATACCTTTACAAAGCTTTCCGAAGATGCGTTAATAGGACTTAAACTACCTTCTTCAGTAACAAGATCCTTAAGTAAATTTCAATCAAATTATGGTATTACTTGTAGATAGTCGGACGTCTCGTGAATACAAGTTGACTGAGAAGTCAGACAATATCCAGAAGCCTGTGAAAGGCTCCTTTCGCTAACTAATTTAAGCTTGCGCTTTCTCCGATAGTAATTTAGCAGATAAACCAAAGTAACAGCAAGAGCAGAGTAAACAACCAGCCTACTTTGCGTAGGCATGCAACTAAACTGTTACCAAAACTACTGAAGCGCGTAAAACCTAGTAATACAACACTTACCACTACAACCTTGACGTCAACTACTGCGACGTGAAAAACATGCGTGAACTTAAAGTGCCCGCGACCATATATACACTCGCCTAAACAATATATAATACATTACCAAACAATGTTTTAAAAGTTTGAGGTATTAGGTCTTGCGTTGGTATACATCGTACTATCCGTAAAAGCCAACTCATTCAGCTTCTGAAACATATATCCCGGGGAAATAGTCTTTTTGAGCAGTAACAGATTCCACTTCAAGGCACATTCCTTAGCTTTCGGTTTCCACGCAAGACAGTGGTCTTGCGAATGAAGCCTTATTGTTTGGGTGACTTGCTCTGAATCGTCTGCAGGCACGAAAATCTTATTTAGTTTTCCAGATGACTTCCAGAACACCGAACATTAGACATACCTTGTCATCCAGAAATCCTACTGGGAGAGCCGAAACAAATATAAGCCCATAAATATGAGTACAATTCATATTCATCCACTGACTGTCTGCTTTATGGTTCGCCGAAAGTTTCAGTGCCTCACATTTTCAATGGTTCTGCGAATGATGTCGGTTTGTGATGTCTGAAACTTCTTTCTTCTAGGAACTTCAGTAGGACAGTGAGGCATAACAGATCCATGAACTCAAAATTCTCCGTTTTCTAATTCTACAAGGCATGCATGCAAAGAATTTTCACATATCTCATAAGATCCACTTCAACTTAACTGTATATACACACATAAGCCTCGGGACGTTTATTTTATTGAAGTTATCCATGGTGGTGGAATTATCCCTCTCAGCATATGCTGGATATCAGCATGTAGCAACAACGTAAACATGTACAAATGATGAACCTGATATACCAAACAACTTATTGATGGCGAAAAGTGCACAGCTTTCCATCTTGGTACAGAGGGAGTTCACCTACTGGAAAATAAACAGGGTACATTGAGACACTAAAAATAAACAGTAAAACGGCTGCCTATGATTTGAACTTCAAACGTTCGAAAACAACTAGGCCCTAGAAGGGACTTGGTGAGGTTGTCTGCAGGGCTTCCACCTCGTTCAACGGTTGGTCTTGGCTAAAATGGCACAGACGATTGTCTTCTAGCCACTCACCTTTATGGGTATACCTCCTCCGACCGACAGCACTCAACTTAGCTTAACCAGTATCTGCCATTACTGGTAAACCATTGAAAACTAAAATTCCTCTATTAAACGTACGTACCAAGTTCACCCATGATTAGTATGACTATCACACGGTGAGCTTCTATTTATACACTTTGAACCAACCAGCATGAAAGTGAAGTACCAAAATAGACACTCCAATGCCGGCAAAAGCAACGTCAATTTGATATTTTATTCTTCCTGGTAAATGACTCTTCAAATGCGAAAAATGCATTCGCACTCGTTTCTATGCATCATAAGGGTATCAAAAATGAAGATCTGATTGCTACTGAAAATCCTACTCTAATTCAATCCCAAATTCTATAATAAACAAAGGTGAACTAATCCGATATTTCAGTTACATAGCTGCAGTAGAAAGTCGAAGAAGTTCACCAAATCTATCCAGCCTCGGTCGTTTTGCCTTCAGCAACCAATTTGTTCACTGTTCGGGGTAAAACACACAGTGGATAGTTGGATTTTCAAGGGACAAAATCTCAACGGAGACAGTGCGTTTTGATCGTATATCTCTATACTCTCCTAATATTATCGTTAATTAATACACCTTCAAGCGGCTGTAAATGTTATATTCTTTCTTTTCTAGATGCAGCGGTGTTAAAAACAGCATGGCCACCAGGCTAGGTGGTCCAGTCTAGAGGGTTGGTGGGTGGTGTAGCAAAACGTCATGTATGGCAGGGTTGACAGCCATAGATCAATCGTCAGCGTTATTACTAGTCGGAACTAACTGGAAGTATTGTTCACTGTAACTTATAATTTCTGGTGTTCTTTGGTTAAATTTAAACTTATTTGACTGATCATATTCGTACGTGTGCTTAACTTACTTTTTTCTTCATAATATTTGATTTATTGATCATGGAGTCTGACACAAAAAACTTTATTTCCACGGAGATAGACACCTTAGTAACTCCGAAAACTAGCATACCTGAATTTGATAGACATGATCATGAATTATGTTTGCTCAATTACAGCGTTACTACGACCACTATAACTCCAAGTTTGAAAGTTCCAGGTATAGGGACGTATGTTCTTAACTATCTTATCCCATTAGCAAAGAAGTGCAAGGGCTTGTGCTTCATGCCCCGTCAGAGCAAAGATATACTACACTTAAGCGTAAATTGATAAATGCAACGATTATTTCTGGGCGGGACCACGGGGGTTAGATCCCCATCACAGTTCCTGCGTCACTTGCAGCGACGTGTGAGAGGCAAGGCGGGTGGAGAGGATGTGATAAAGCAAGGCTGGATGCAAGCCGTTCCGGAATATACGCAATATGCACCAGATGCTCAGAATGAAGGACAAGGGAATTATGCGAATAGGCGTGATGACCCAGTAATTTCATGGCTCGCGGCCAGCGTTAGATCACCCGCGCAAATGCTAACACAATTGCAGTTAACGCAGAGCAGTCGAGCAAGATCCCCTGGCATTTTCAGGGTGAGGCGCATGCATATAGCAAACAACCTTCTTCAAACCCTGCACACAACTATTAGGTCACGTACTATCTCATCACCCTGGGCGGATCTGGCAAAGAAAGTCCCGAGGACACCATCAGATAGTATGACAGGCTAGGCACTTCATAGCAGACAACCCTTGGGATCACAAGCAGATCCAGGCAAACCAGACCAACAGAGAAATTTTGTTGGCCCCACTGTACCTCTAGCGCACAATCAAATAAATGCACATAGTCATATGCCCGGCTTGGATAAATGGATCAGCAATATGGAAACCAGTAGAACCCTTTCACTTAGCGACTTCTCAGAGAGAAGGCCCTGATAGTCGCTTAGTTCGCACCAAGAAAAGAATCTCTGGCACAGATTTCTTGAACGATACTAGGCTACAGTCATACCGAAAGCAGAAGCGAGGCAGGGACGAGAAGTTATCTCCATCTATATATAAGCGGTCAACGAGACCGAAATCTCGACTTTCGGTCAGAATACACTGACACTTGATGCGGAGTTTAAGCGACAGCTCCCATGGATTTTTACTGTTGCTGACCCAGACCTAGCAATTATTGGCCTAGACTTCCAGGAACAGTATAAGTTGATATTGGATACTCGAAAGAGACGACCAAGATTGAGACAAACGTCCAGGTATGCGAATAGCAAGTTGAGCCCTCATATATCACCAAACTTAGTTCATCCTCCATCAGTATTGACCGAAAGGTTCCTGGAAATAGTGGCTGAATTTCCTACTATAAGGGCAACCAGCCCTCAAAATTCCGAGGCTGCTCCAAACACCATGCATGTAATAAAGATGAGTAGTCCCCCTGTTTTCGCTAAGCCAATGAGGTAGAAATGGCGAAAGCAGAATTCGACTACATGCCTCAGTTGGAGACAATACGGCCCTCTAATAGTCAATGGACTTCACCGTTGCACACGGTTTCCAAGAAGAATCAAAGTGACTGGCTATCCTGTGGTGATTACAAACTCCTGAATAAACAAACCGTTTTAGACAGATACTAATAGTCTCCGCGGCACCACAGTCTTTTCTAAAATATCCTCAGCTCGCACCTATTACAACGTCACAGTGGCTGAGGAAGATATACCTAAAACAGACATCCCCACTCCATTCGAACTTTATGAGCTTTTGCGGATGCTATTTGGTATTCAGAATGCTGCACACTTTTCAAAGATTTATGGATGAATTGTTGCGAGGCCTACCGTTTGCTGAAGCTTTCGTATATGTCCTACTCATCGTTAGCCCGGAAATATTCGGGCAGCGTTAGGAAAACTGTGAGGAAAGGGAGAAAATCTGATCCCTACAAACCAACTCGTTCAAACAAAGAGCATGACAACTGATTAAAGTAAGTGCTTTTTGGAACAGGAACAATAGGATTCTTCGAGCGTGCCTCTTAGAGTCTTGGCATGCAACCACTACCCAAGGGGGTGTTTCCCATCGGACAGTATCACTACTGACTTCCATCACCCAACTACTAAGTTTTCTAGGTTTGATCAACTTCTGCAGACGCCTCATACAAAAATGTGCACAATAAATGCAGACTCTCACTGACGCACCATGGGGTAAGCAAAAAGGCTTCCAGTTATCACAGGTGGCGACTGATGCGATCGTACAATTGAAGGACGCACTGGCAAACACTACAGAATAAAAGCATCCTGACACAGATGCGTTTCTCACTCTAATGGCAGATGCATCTGATTAGGCTGTAGGAGCAACTTTAAATCAGCTTGTTGGAAGTACCTGGGAACCAGCCGCGCATTTCTAAACATCTAAATCCCATGAAAACAAGGTATTCTGCCAGAGCCAGGGAGCTGCTATATATCTACATATTTTTTTGATTTACAGCTTGATTGCACACCGTATTTTCAGTACAAGCATGGAAATTTCAGCATGGATATCGGTAGCCCAAATTCAGGCTGACCATAGATATCGGGTGTGCGCCGGCAGGGGATCGAACCCCGGACCATGTACATGGTCGGCGAGAGTCCTTACCACTGTGCCACATAACGCATAAACACTGCCAACATATGGATAAAAGCGGGCTATTGAAGATCTACACTGTTCAAAGGCGTCTCACCAGCGCATTCAAAGCAATACCTGGCGAAAATTCAACAGGCAAAGCTCACCATCTCGGTACAGATGCATTACCACGATTGCATATCCAGGTTGAATTATATAGCAATGTTATCCTCATCAACACAACAGGTCTGTGTATCTTACAATATTTTAATTATTTCTCTATGCTATTAACACTCTGCATAACTGTTTACAGTTGAGACCTACGTTCTTTATATTTGGTGGCTATGGTTCACTAAATACGAGAGTGTAATTTCTGTAGGATTAATAAAACTTTTTTTACTAGACCTTACTGAGATTGTGGATCAATTTCTAAGTTACACATCTGCAATACTTCATTTGATGTACACGCATTTGTTGTGAGGTTGATCTGCGAGTAATCTTGATGACAGAATGACCCCGCAATAGTATGGAATTTTCAGAGATTGTCTTGAAATTTGCGTATAACCCTCTAA